ACCTTTACGTGTATGAAAGTGAGATGAAGAAGTTTAGATAAAAATACCAATATTCCGAAATAATATGACTGAGTAATTATAGCCAGTGACTGGTTAGGCAGTAATCTCGTCACCCCTATGCAGAGGGTAAAAACGGTAGGAGAACGCGGAAAGTTTTGAGTGCTGACAAAGGCGTCCCTGAGAAAAAGAACGAGAAAGAAAGCGGCAGAAGCTCGGAGAAAGATAAAGAAACGACAGGGTGTGCCTGTTCCTTTTGTCGCTATCAGTTGAAATTAATCGAAGACTAGTTAAACATATTCATTTGTATAACATGCGGAATGCCAGTGTTTTCTGCGAAGATACATAAAGGAAAAAAAATTTGGGACACTTCTTGCATGTGATGATTTCCTCCTTCTTTTGTGTATACTAAGGAGTCGCCAGCGATATTTGCATCTGAAAAATCCACAATGATCACCGGTGTCCGCCTCAGTGCCCTGCCGTTCTGGAGCGAACGCAAAGCATGGAACCCTTTTCAATATAATAAATCATTACTGCGACGTAATCTTACGCGAATTATTGTAACCTCGAAAGGAGAAAATGAGTGCGAGCAACAGACCCCATGTTGCTAAAGCTATAGTGCTAGATTTTATATGTCACCAGAAAATCAGATGGCACGCGCATGCTTCGTCAGTGCTCAAATCAAGTTTTCGCTGATACAGTCATAAAACAAGTCTCTACCGAACAATGACGCAGCACTCTTGCCCAATCTGCGCAAGGCGAAGTAATCCGACAGGTGGCGTACAAACTTTAACCCCTCGGATTTGTTGCCCGAGATCTGCTGCAACGAGGCTCGGCACGCGGCGTTTTATATAACCACACGATGAATGGCATCCGAGTTGGGCAGACGTACTCTAACACGTATTTAGCAATTTAGGGATGCCAACACTGGACACATTGAAAAACAGGAGACCCACTTATATTGATTCATAGTTTGGAAAAGTTTTTCGATACGTATCAGTAATTGAATTGCTACTGAAATGGCTGTTCCAAATATTAACACCGAAACACATATTGCGAGGCTGGGAGAGTTATACTGAATTAGTTTTCTTTCAATCACTGACCGAATTGTTCTCGTACGGCATGAAACTGGTTGACTGCACACGCCAATTATGCATATGTAGAGAAAAGAAAAGGTGGTCTACGTATATAACTCTATTGTTCGAGATTCATTTTCCAACCAGCATAAGAGTATAATGACTTCGAGATGCGGCCTGTCAGAAAATAAACTTCATAGATAATTCACATTAGTGGTTATTTGTATTAGAAAGGAAAGCATATAGGCTTTGAATGAGTTTATAAGCACTTTCTATTAAGGTTGGGGTGCATTTTGTTGTAGTTGATCCTTCTCACACAAAATCATGTTTAGGAACTAATCCGTTTCGTGTCCTCCAGAATAGCCCCAAGGCACCATCCTCAAATTTATTTAGGATGACTCATACAGCTTTTCTCTCGCGACGCTACGATTACATTCACCGCTCTTTCCTTATCGGTTTGTTGGACGTACCGGCATAGTCTTTCATTTTTGAAGCTTACAAAGACAGCCGACCACCTGAAGTCCGAAAAAACATATTCTGTATTCTTAGAATTAAAATTGAGTCATATATGGTGAGGTATAAAATATTGCCTACAAACTTTGTTCTCAACAATAATAAGGTCTCAAGCCTCCCTTAACAGCGCTCTACAATGATTTGAAAGAAAACAAAATGTCAGCTTGAAATTTTGTTAAGAGGAAAAAAATGTCTGGGTAATTTTAAAGAATTTTGATTGCCGCTGGTAGTACACGATACCAGTAATGTACCTTGAATTTTTTTTTCATATACCTCAACACGAATACAGCTATATATTTATATCTGCACATATACACAATATATATATTATTTAATACGATCGCTATGCCTTTGTATCGCGATAGTGTTCAATTCTGGATGGCACCGAATTAGCGGCTGCGCATCGACCGTGTCTCGCATCACTGATTGAAGACGCGTTAATCTACAAATGCTGACGAAGAACTTATGTTCAAGTCGTGCTTCTACTGAATCGCATTGTGATATCGAAATCCGAATGCCTCTGAGTATGGGCGGTGATGGTCCCATCCTCAATTATTGACTGTCCACTTAGAGGAAGATTGTAATACCCTATACTGAAACTGGGTTCTATTGAGCGTAAAAAGTCCAAGGAACACGAGCAGGTAAAAAGGACTTATGATGTTTTTTTATGAGAATGGTATAAGGAGGCCTAATTCTATAGAACACGGGGCTCAGCATGTTCAATAACTCTTGCGCCGTGAAGCAATTTGACTCATTTTAGGTGGATCGTTTCACGTTAAATTTTGGGTTCCTTCAAATCTTTCGCACTTTATTTTTTAGACTAGCATGGCTCCAATGTCCTATCTACATGTTGAATTCGGAAAGTTTCAGGAGCTAGAGTGTACAACGTGCTTCAAGACGTATCTTTGTTATCGAGTCAAATTCAGGACAACAACCAAAGCAATACACTTTATTCCGCCTAAATGCAGCAGAGAGAGTCAAATACAAACCGCTAACTTGAGTGACAACATACAATCGGAAGGCAAACCCACTGGCTTCGAAAATCCTCTTGAAATAATCTAACAGATAAACATACTCCAAACATACCCCCATTGCATAATGATTGCTAGGACCATTGCCAAGTTTGAAGTCTTAAGAATTCAGGAAGGCAATGCTTCATTTCGCACCTTGATTAGAAGCAAGGAATGATTGTGGTTTATTGAACAAATAATAAAGAAAAAATTTAATAGTTTATATAACTAGAACTGAATCTTGTCAGTTTCGCGTTGCTACTGCATAATTGCATGGGTGGTATTATGGGCAACGTTTGGCATGAATATGGTTAATTACCTGACATCAATATTCAGTTTCAGCCATTGGCTTAGAAATATTTAAAACTCTACCTTATGAGTAATACAAGTTGTTTTGATCGGTAACAAAGGTTTCCGTGTTACAACGTATATTTAACCAGATTCAAGCCTCATCTCCAGTTGGTTAAACAATGTGCTAGAAGTATACTTTAAAGAAACAATAAAGGCGATTTTGATTAATTTTTTTTTTTTAAAATTGTGTCTTTAGGCTTCTTGGGAACCTTGAACGCTGCCCCATTTCTTGTAGACAGTTGTGACGCGTATTTCTGTGCCTACAATAGAACTGAAGGAACCGAAACTGAACTATCTCCATTCTCCCTTCTGGGCCTCCGATAACGGAGGTGACGTAGGGAGTGACGTCAAGTGTGAATAGTCGGTATCGGTAGCATTTAGGAGATCGAGACTGGTTACCGCGGTGGGTTCTAGCACCGCAGTGGCGCGATCGTTTCGTCGGATCAGTCAACATGGACGACAATGCCGCTCTCGCGAGCGAGTTCGGTTCCGGGCTTCCGTTCAGTGACCTAACACCAACGAAACGGGAGTACGTGTGTAGCGTTCCTCGCCATCACCCGACGGTGACCGCCCAGCCAGCTACGAGAGGCCCGTTGGCTCTGAGCAGCAAAACTGTGAGCAACATTCGCGCGGGCGAGACGAGAGCGGCGTGCTTCCGAAGGACGGGCCCTGTCCCTGTTCGACAGTGTGCGAACGAGATTCCGAGAGGAAAGCAGCAGCGACCCGGGAACCGGTTCCTCCGCGGGGGACGCTCCCCAAGGAGGAGAAAATGAACAGCTTGATTTTTGCTGTCACCAGAATTGGAAGTCCACTCATTTCGTCGTCAAAGAACAAGAACGATCACTGGTCTTCAGTCGACCGTTTGAACAGCCATCTAAGGCGCACAAATTTGACATGACCACCACTTTGCAAAATCCTTCGATTACGGTGTTCCCAAAGTAAACCCGACATCGACGTCTCCAGCGCGCTCCACGCTGTGTTCTTTTTTATTTATTTTGTTGTACCATAGTTGCTAGTTGCCCGTTTCGCGTACAGCGTAGCAAAGAAAAACATAAGTATGCTGTTTTATTTATGGCTTAGTAATCATTTCCGGTCCGATTTGTACTTTTTATGGTTATTCAAGCGGAAATTAGAACAGCATTCCTAAAAACTGCGAACCAAAACGTGACCGAGGGCACGTCTCTCGTTTCGACTAATCGCTGACGCGTCTCTTGTGACGTCACGCTTCTTGGCCCCGCATCGGGCACGTGAGGTCCACTTCTCCTGGCTTCTCCCGCAACTCTCGGGGCGTCGCACCAGTCGATCCCGGTACGATTATTACCGGGACTGTTTAATTGATTTGCGCGGCACACAACCGCCGGTTCCGCTGAAATTTGGGCGACGTGGCCTGAGACGTGCCTACCACCAAATTCAATCGCAAAAAAAAAAAATATCCGAAATTACTTTTATGGTCTCTTTAGTCTAACGATAAAACGCTATTATACCTTGCTAATAATAAAAAAAAAATCAAGGACCAATTTATCATTTTCAGCAAATTCATTTTGAACCTGATGCTTTTTTAAACATTCTCATATTTAAATGTATTTACAGTTTCTAATTTGTACGAATATTATTGATTTTTGTATTCAATAGAAAGTGTTAAGTTTCACCATTATGTGGATATTAATGTTGTAGATAATAATCTCTTAAATAGGACGCTGAAAGATTTTGTCAAACTTTGTCGAAATTATCAAAAGGAGAGTGAAAAAATAAACAAAATTATGTATTGAACATATAATACTAAACTGCCATTGACTAAGCGTAATAAAATAAGTGTTTTTGGTGACGCCCAAAAAGCAGTGCAGTAGTCCTAGTGCAAAATCCTTGCGCCTAGCCTAAAACAAAACAAAATCCCGAAAGCTTGCCTTTTCCGCTTTTTTTTTTGCATTTAAAAAACGGTCCCATAATATATAGCTTTTATTTATTAAAATAACATTTCTTCTCAAAGCCCGGCCTCATTTGGAACTAAAACACGCTCATATATATTGAGTTTATAATCAAAAAGTTAACTTACCCGAAACGCCATAGGTAAAGGCGAGCATAGTAAAAATGCTCTTGGCACGAAGCATTCTTTTCTACAAAAAAACCTAACATAAGACAATGGAATAAATATATACATAGATATAGATGCGAATACCTGCAAATATGATTTTCACAGTTCCGCTGGAGAAATGCTCCGCTCGATATAGCAATCTATTCCCCAACAACAGTGAATCTCTTTTAGCCGTTAATTCCTCCCGAGCTGGATTTTATTTCTCGTTCTATTGTTGTTGTTTTTCTTGCGACCTTAACGGAGTGTTTTTTTTTTGTTTTTTTTTGTTCAAACACCTGTTTAATACAACCTTTATTTCGAAAGCCTAAGGCGAAACGACAAATGTTAGCAAGCGTGCCACACTCTCTATGGAGGAAGCATCTAACGTATATACTCGAGTAATAGCCGCACTGTTTAGGAAGAAAATCTGAGTGTTCGCTTTTCCGCGGAGCTCGCCGATAGCCAATCACCGCGATCTACAGCATGAGTTCAGCTGTTTACGGGACACAGATAAGGTTTTCATGCGAAAATACCCTTTGTATAGATTGCATTTGTATGGACAATCGTGTTCTTGATCTAGTTATTCGTTATGTTATTTATGCCCAACGCAATGATTGGCTGTATTTGTGTTCTGTGGGAAAGCAGACGCAAAAGGCCTTGTTCATAAATAGTGCGGCTATTACTCGGGTAAGTACGGCATACATTTATTCGTTTTGGTTGACCTATTAATGTAATCGACCCAGTATGCGCAGCGAACGACGCAGTGCACACCCACAGACACACGAAACACTTTCAAACCCAGATGTGCGAATTTCGAATAGATAATTGGGATCTAAACGAAATTACCGCATTTAGAGAACGAAGAGTGAAGATACAGGAGAGAGGGCGCCACTCGCGACTATATTTACTGAGATGAAGAGAAGGAAGAACATCGTGAAAACCCATCACCCCAAAAAAGATAAAAAAAGAACGATGAAAAATAAATTTCTTACATTATCAACGTTTTTTTGGGTGATGGGTTTCTACGATGTTCTTTTTTCTTTTCATCTTAGTAAATATAGTTGTGAGTAGTGCTCTCTTACTGTATGTTCCTTCTTCTTTCTTTGCGCGCGCTAATACCGTTTAGATGTTTAATTAAAAACTAGCCAAATTATCTACCCCTTTAAGGCACTGTCACACTGAGGCAACACGACGGCTACAGCAACACAACACGTTGTCCAACAGTCGGAATCACTCCCCGTGTTGGCCGACAAACCTGTCACATCGCGGCTACAGCAGGGCAACATGGACGACAACTAAAATTTTGCCTCGGTATGACAGCTTTCGGCAACAAAAACAGCAGCAACTTGTGTTGGACAACGTGTGTTGCCCTGATCGCTGGCTGAGCGGGCCGGCAACACGAAAACACATATAGCATCGATGGCAGAGCTAGTTTCGTCTCAATAATGTCTTACCCGAATAAACCCAGGCAGCACACCAATGTCGGTCCGACATTGGCCTAACATTGGCAAAGACCGGCCTCACTATTGGACAATATTGGAAGCGCTACCCTTTCCAATGTTGGCCCAGTGACCGGTGCCAATGTTGGGCCAATGTTCAGCCATCATTCCAACCGATGTCGGCCCCATCATTGGTGCCAATGTTGGGCCATCGCTAAACCATGGTTCCAGCCAAGGTGCTCGCACATTGGCGAAGACCGGCGTAATATTGGACAACACTGGAAGCGCGACCCGATCCAACGTTAGCCGTCATGCTGATTTTTGGCCATCGTTGCACTCGCCCAGCTCTTTGCAAGTGCCCTCGCCAAGTTGTTTGCAAAAAGGAAGGTAAACAGACACAAGGGATTGTTTTGAAATCTCCTAACAGTTTATTACACACAGCTTATTCTGTAGACAAGCACAATCTCAGCAATTCGTAATATGTGAAGATGTACTACTCAGCTGTGATACAATTAAAAAGACTGCAAAGCAAGCAACAACCGGGGTAATTCTTGGGTAGTGTCTCCCGGCAGCTGACAGAATTGTTTCGCCAAAATTCTACCACTAGTCGCCCCTCATTGGCGGTGCAATCAGTTCATCGAACTACATTTCATAGACAGATCGTTTCATCAACACGTGATGTTTCATAAAAAAACTCAAAATATGTTTTCTTTTCTTCTTTTTTTGTTGTTGCAATGAATCGCTTCAGATTAGCATGAAGCGTCGTGAAAGGGTGGGCTGGTTCGGTGAGCACGCGCCTGAGGAATACACGCGCGACGAAATGCCCCTACAGCGCGCAATTCACGTAACGAATGTCGATGAAACGTAAATGTCGATCAGAAAGGTGGCAACGAAACGTGTTTTTTCGAAACGCAGGTAGAATAAAAAAGTCAGTATTCTACCTGCGGTTGTGACATTATTTCAGACAGATAATGGCAGGCGACTGTCGGTAAGATTGCGGGAAAATTATTCTCCCAGATGCCAGGAGATAGGCAATGCCCAATTCTAGAGGTTATCCGGAAGATTGCCCATACAAGAACGGACAATGATCATCAAGTAGGTTGCAGCACACTTACGTTGAAAATACTGGACTTGAAAGATGTAATCCGACTTATATGTCAACACGGGCACTGCAGAACAACCACTCAAACACAAAAACTGCAAGGAAGTGATCCGTGAAGATTCAACACAATGTAGCACACGCTGCCATTTGCCGAACCGGACACTAAACTGTTCACAAGAATGTCTTGGGCCTCTTTGAAGAAATCGACACGGGTAGGACTTTTCGAACGAGATACCATTTACCACAGAAGCGAAATCCACAGCGGACCTGCACCCCGCAGGCCGCATCATGCGCGAAACTAGGTCCGGTCCTTGCGACGCAGGCATTCCGAGTTTGTCGACGGGTAATGTGTCATCCGTCAAACCACATGATCACACTTCTGCCGTTACCCGCGCACAGAGAGCGGATTCAAGTCCGGCGAGTATGCACAGCAACCGCGCCTTCAGCTTAGGGAGAGAGGGAAAAAAGAGAGAAGGAGTACAAAGCAAGCAGGCCAGAACGGGGGTGGGGTGCGCTTACAAAGGCTTATCTTCAGGGGCATCTCAAGAATGAACGGAGCGAGAGAATTTGTCACTTCTACCCAAGGTTGATAGTGCAGTAGAAGTTATGCGTGACCTTGTGCTTTAGGCAGGTTCCGTGCTCTGCCTTATCGCCAGCTTTGAGACAGTAGTCACGTGACCCTAACCGGAGACAGGATTGGCCTTAAACACGCATAGCGTCTACCTTGCTGTCATTACCGATTTAACAGGACAGCTCTTTGAAGGTCATCTTTTGAACTTCTAAAGAAACTGTCCGGTTTCTTTAGAACGGTTTCTGAAATATGCTGCGTAGGGTACGCCGGGCGCAACGGCTTCGCGACCGTTCGAAGGGCAAATGATTCGCGACAACAAAGTAGCGTCTTGCAGCATCAGTAAGCTACCGGGGCTCGAGAGTCCCACGCTCACATTTCCGCAGAGCGAGCGCGGCCGGCCAGATCGAGGCGCAGTATGCTCTCGCGTCGCGATTGCTACGTCGTTGCTCTGCCTACACTGATGACATGTGCACTGGCAGTCGAAGCAACCCTCTTGAGACTTCACTCGAGTTTAATATATGACTTTATAGCGCGATAGACTCTCATAAAACTAAAAGTAGAAGTCACTTCGGTTGCGACGTAAGCGGTGGCTTTATGTTTGTTGACACCTGCGTCGACAATGACTAAATATGCACAGAAACATTAAATATAAAAATGGAGCACGCACAAAGAAATACCAACATGGCAGGGGCACGGACAAAGAGAAGACGTTAACGCTACGTATACATACAAAATACATGAGAAAAGACAAAAATACTTAAATCTAAAAAACGGAATTAAGTTGTCACCGCCGAGGTAAGGCAATGCGAAGGGAGAGCAGCCGGCAAAAAACTGCAATAGTCCTATAGGCAGCTAATGACGTATTTGTGATAGCGGTTATAAAGCCCCGGCGACGCACGCCCCATGAAGTTGGCTAAATAAAATTCTCGCCTGAGCGAGCTCATGAATGACTCTTTTCCAATTTCCTACCTCTGCAATGCAAAAAAGGAATCGCGGGTTTACAGCCTAGGCGACACAAATATTGATAAGCCATTGGCTATGGCAGTACAATATTGACCAGCCTATACCAGGACATCACCAATATTGGAAAACTCTTGGCTTTGACAGATTAATATTACCCAGCTTAAGCCAGCGTATATTCAATATCGGAAAACCATTGGCTCTGACAGTCCAATATTGTACAGGTTATGCCGGCGTATATCCAATATAGGAAAGCTATTGGCTTAGACAGTCCAATATTGGACAGCTTATGCCGGCGTATAGCCATTATCAGAAAGCTATTGGCTCCGACAGTCCAATATTGGACAACTTATGCCGGCATATATCCAATATTGGAAAGCTATTGGCTTTGACAGTCCAATGTTGACCAGCCTATGCCAACGTATCACCAATATTGGAAAACCATTGGCTTTGATAGTCCATTATTGTCCAATGTGTTTCCAATATTGGGAAACATATGGCTCAGTTGTGCCATTGTTGGGCCATTCTTTGCCACCTCAAATCCAATGTTAGCCCAATGCTGTGTGCTGCCTGGGAAGGCTTCGAAAACGTTAGTTAACAATAATTAAGGCAGACGTGCAGCTAAAATAAATTTGATGAATATTTTTACTGCGTAATTACGGAAAGCGATTGTCGGGATGGTCACCGCTACGGTAGTGAACATTCAGATTGGTGTTGAAATTAGAGCTGCCGAGAAACCAGCTAATATTACTGCTAATCAAATAATATGGCATGCCTACTCGCCTGATAATGTACAGTAAGATAATCCAGGGAAGCAAATATTACAAAATCGAAAGATTAAAACGACCACTCTGATCATTATCGTTGATACTTGGAACTTGGAAACAGCCGCTACCAGTCACCTGATCTATTTCAAAAATTCCCAGGACGTTTTGGTGAATGAAGCGGTCACATAGCAGGCGGTA